CTTCTATACATAGTAATATAATACACAATACATCAATAGAGTGTATATTTACCATCTTTAGTCTCAGTGTTTGGTTTATTCACTACTTTAGCTTCACTCTTACCATCAAATGCAGCAGCAGGTGAAGTTCCAACCAGTACGTTATTCTCATCAATTTGCTCCTCATCTTTGTTTCCCTCAGTTGTTTCTACATGCACAGGATCTGCTTCTGTTTGTCCTCCCTTTTGCTGTTGAAGTTCTAATGCTTCTGGTTGTTCTTGTGACTTCTACTCTCCTTCTCCTCCTTGTTGGTATCCACCTTCACTTAGAAGTTCTCCTTTTTCTTGCCCTCCTTGTGACTGTGATTGCTCTCCTTTCTGTGACTGAGCTCCTTGTTGCTGCTGTCCTCGTGACTGTTCTCCTTGTTGTTCCTGTCCCTCCTCTCCTTGTTGTCCATTGGTTTGTTCATTAGCTCCTGGTTGCTGTTGCTGGGTTAGTACTGTCAGTGCATCTCTTCCTTGTTCCTGTTGAGCTGGTACTACACCTGCTCTTTGTCCTTGTGGTTGCTGACCTCCTCCTCCTCCTCCTCCACCTCCTCCAGTCATAGATACTATTAGCAATCCCAGCATGCACACCAAACAGAAATCTTTACGCTCAATGAATCCATACCCACCATTAGAGCTAAACTCTCCTCCCTCAACTATTGCAAACTGGTAAGGAAGATTGGGTGTGCTCACGGGAGCTATAGCAAACTTTAAGTATTGTGCAAGATCTGGTTGTCCTGTTAAATCAACACAGTGCTGTATCTCTAACTTTAGTTGTTTGAGGAGAGGCTCAGAGAGTGATACTGCATACACAGCACTCACTAGGACAGTATTAGGAGGAAACTTGAACTGTCCTCCTACAAGAGCAACCACTGCTGCTTCTACTGTCTCAGAGGACAATAGGCTTCCTTCTTGTACTCCAATCCTTAGACCATATTTCTCCCAATTCATCAGTTGAGGTTTGTCTCCTTGAATTAAGAACAGTTTCTTCTCTGCTACCTGGACATCACTCAGACATTCCAAATTATCTATCAATTGTATAAAATGTATATTTGGTTATTCATACAATACTTACCCATTGAAGGAATCAAGTAGTTAAATTGTAATCCAATAGAACTGCATGTAGTTTCTTTGATTGAATGTTCCTCTAAGGATGTGATTTTCTCTTGTATTTGCTCCTTCTCCTTTATTAGTTTGGAAGTATACAGTTCATTATCAGCAACTTTACTTTCAAATTCTAAAGTATTCATTTCCCTCACAACATTAAATGATGACAATACTCTTACCTGTAATGATCTGTTTCTTTTTGAAATATTGCTCCTTCCTTTTTTCTTTCTCTTCCAGTGCCTCATTAGCAACATTGGAACTAGTGTTTTTGGTCTGACTCCTCATTAGTTTGGCAGTATACCTCTCATTATCAGCAACTTTAATTTTAAGTTCTGATTATTTTTTCAGTATAATGCATACACACATTGATGACAATACTCTAACCTTTAGTGATTTGTTTCTCAGTGAGGAACTGTTTCTTAACTTGCTCCTTCTCTTCCTCTAATTTAGTCATTTGACTTTTAAGTTCTAAATATTTTCTCACATAATGTAAATGTATACATTTGAGTACTCTAACCTTCAGTGATCTGTTTCTCTTTGAGATATTGTTTCTCTACTTTTTCATTCTCTTCCTCTAATTCAGTTAGGTATACATCATTAACAGCAACTTTAGCTTTAAGTTCTAAACATTCTCACTCATAATACACACATATTGATGACAATACTCTAACCTTTAGTGATCCGTTTCTCCACAAAATATTGCTCCTCCGATTGTCTCCTCTCTTCCACTAATTTTCTCTTATCTTCCTCTACTTGTTTCTTCTCTTCCTCCGCTTGTTTCTTCTCTTCCTCTATTTGAGTTATCAATACTTCATTATAAGCAACTGTAGCTCTAAGTTTCTCATTATCTTCTACATGAATAGACTCATCTAATATTACGTACTGATGATACACTAACCAATGATAATCTGTTTCTCTTTGTGTAACTGTACCTGTGCTTTTAACACCTCTTCCAATTTATTATTGTCAACTTTAGCTGAGTTCGAAACAAAGTCATTAAATTAATGACAGATAATTGAATTAAAATGAATGTATACAAATAAAATGTATAAATATATACCTTGTTTATTGGTTTCAGCCAGTTTTTGATGCAATAACTGGATGTATCTCTGTAGCTCAGTTTCCTTCTTTGTGGGATCTTCTACTAGCTGATCCATCCACCATGTTCTGGTCTTGCTGTATGATGAATACTTTTCTTGATATTTCTTACTAGTGAGATCATTAGCATCCAGTACTGATTGTACTATCCACTCACCAGCTTCAATATACACTGAAATAAGAAAAATACATGCATTAAAATAAGAAAACAACCCTGATGAATAAGCTTATACTTAATTCAATTATCATTATTAGTTTATCAGTATCAGTGACAAATTTAACCTCTGACTCCTTCTTTTCTATTATAAAAAAACTGGGATTCAAGCTCATTATATCCTCCAACAATTACTAGCCACACACAGTTTGGTGACATTGTGACTGCTGTGAGTGAGTGACTGTATCTACCAGTAACAGGTTCAAGTAGAGGGGAAAGGAGAATTAGTTAAAGTGACATTGTGATTGGTATCTGCTTTACTTCTGTTTACAAGTGAGACTGATTTGTACTTGTACAAATTTGGAATTCTAGGAAGACATGTACACGTCTAGTCGTGCATGCACTTTTAAATTAAATTAAAATGTTTTTAGAACTTTATAATTGTACTTGTAAAACAAACTTGTGTTCGTGATTTCATGTACACATTACCTACTACAGACTAAAAATTTGTTTATTTATGTACCTGTACATGAATAATGACTTGCTATTATCTGTAGCAAACTACCCACAAAATACTATTAGCTATAATGGTATTTACACTAATTAGTGCTGAAATTACTACCAGTATTATGAAGAGTACATAATTTATCAATTTTGGTATTATGTATAGTGAAATTAGAACAGGGTAATACATAATTTGAATTGGAATTTTCAGATTTGTACTTGTACAAATCTTGTGCATACTATAGTACACACTAAGAATTTGCTCATTGATGTAACTAAACACAAACCCACCCACACATTATCCACCAAATCTGTGTGAATGAAATGCATGATAACAATTACTGATATTCATTTGGACAAAGTAAATGAAAAAACTATATTCTGGCCGCCATGATGGAGGCATACATTTTACAGTCTTCAATGGGGAAAAGGTGTTATTTACAGTTTTTTCAGCAGAGCAAAGGAGTTGGATCCAGAAAGAAAAAATTCCAATCTTAATCTCCATTTCTGTACCATTTCCTGTATTTATGTTGTGTAGAAAGTTTGAACTGATTCCAATCAAAATTGTTTTTTTCACAAATTTTTAGTGGTGCTCCAAAATCTGACCAAAGTCCCTGTACATATTTGGCTATTGGCCAAATTTTGCCGAAAATGACATATACATGTACTTATTATGTGTAGAAAGTTTGAGCTGGTTTTGATCAAAATTGATTTTTTTACAAAGTTTAAAGTTGCTCTAAAACTGGGCCAAAGTCCCTGTACTATATGGTACAGGGCTATTGGCCAAATTTCGTCGAAAATGACAAGATGAAAATTCTACATTTTTCTAATTTATTTTGATACATATACATGCATCCACGTTGAAAGTTTGAGCTGATTCTGATGGAAATTGAATTTTAAAAAAATTTTAAGTTGCTTCAAAATCAAGCCAAAATCCCTGTACAAGGCTATTGGCCAAATTTTGCCAAAAATGAAAAGGGGTGAATTTTTGCTTTTATAATTTATTTTGATGCATATACATGTACTGGTATTTGTGTTGTGTAGAAAGTTTAAGTTGATTCAAATAAAAATTGAATTTTTTTACAAATTTTTAAATTCGCTCCAAAATTGGGCCAAAGTCCCTGGACTATTATGAGACATAAAATACCTACAATAGCATTATAAAAGCCTGTTGTATGATCAATTATATTCAGCAATAAAACAAAAAGACTGAATACATGTACATTACATGAATTAAAAATTTTGCTGTATTATATGAACACACAAGACAATAAGGATTGCTCAGACTACAATAAAAAAACATCGAAAAATTTGTGTTAGTAAGTTTACTTTATTGCGAGTGCTTGGCATTAATTCTGGTACCTAAAATAAACAAAATAAAGTACTTTCTTGTTTAAAATAGTAATCACCCCATAATTTTCATAATCTGAATCATCTTCAAAAACGTTTGGTGTATTGGATTTATTACTTGTCATTACTTGACAACTTGTAGCAACCTGTTAATAATAAAAAATAATTTTACAAAGTTTGTCATGAATATATTAATTGTTATACCACTTCAATTGAATTGTTTAATATAATGTCTGTTACAAGTGCTCCTGGTTCCTTGTTAACACTCAGTGACTCATCAGCGAAGGAATTTTCTGTTGGAAAGTGAGCAGGTAAAACTTCATTCACATTCATTGGTATTATATTAGTACTGCGATCATATACATCTGTTTTATCTAAAGGGGCTGATGTTGGATTTGGCTGCACAATTTCAGCTAAAAATGATAAATTTTATGTTAATCATTAACATTATAATACTTACTATCAGTGGAGCAAGTATCATCTTCTACTGGAGTATTAACATCATAATCATATTTCATTGGTGGATACTTTTCTGTATAAAAAATTTAAATTACCTGATTTTAAAATTCATATCAATACCATAATGTCCATGAACCACAGCAGCATCAGTAGCTGGTATTACTGGTACTACAAACTGAGAACTGATGCTCACAGTAGCACTATGTTCTTGTGCAACAGTATCATCATAGGAAGGAGGAGGAGGAATATCAGAACTATAGAATCAAAATCAGAGCAGATAAAATAATACTATCAACTAACATGTTGTCAGATGGCTGATAGACAGTGACACCTCCTCCTTTCTACAATATAATGTTAAGTATTAAACATCACTTAATGTTAATACCTTATTAATATCTCCAGTAACTTTATCATACATAACAGTTTGAGCAGCAGGAGGTAGAGGAGTAGTATTTGTCCTTTTAACAAGATCAGCATAAGTAGGATTAGCAGCAGTAGCAGTGTCACTAACAGCAAAAGTAATAGATACATTACTGCCAGTATTAGTATTGTACTCACTACTCAGAACTATTAATAAGTGGTGCTATTGATGATATACTGTCCTCAACATTTGTTTCTGATGTGTTCATTGATGGGTATGGCTCTTGTTGTGTTAATTCCTAAATAACACAATAGTTCAAACTATACATCTAATTACAAAAATTATATTGCATACTGAGCTGTCATCGACTTTATTGTCATTGTTTAAATTACATCATTTTAGAGTTATACTTAATGATAGTAAAGCTATTGTATTTGCACTTTATATGTATGTCTAGAACTAGGATAATGATTTTCACGATTCAAATTGTGTTTTATCAATTGGGTTATGTTGTTTATGTTAATTTTTAAAATTACTTTTCTAACTGAAAACTGTGAAAAGCAAAACAAGCAACTGTATACCATATAAATCCTTTCTCAAATAAAAGCTTGTTTTGACTATAGAAGCTTGGGGGTCTACATGCATTGAATATCATAACATAGTGCACTGACTTAATAACTGATACAATTTATACATGAATAGCACATACCTGAACATTGTGTAAAGGAATGGTGTCCTTATCAGCAAGGAACTACATAACACAATGGAACAGATAATGTCAGCAATTGAATAATAATGGTTAACACCATGTTCAGGGACAATAATGTTAGATTGCATTATGTATATTGTATAGCAGGAAATTTTCGTGGCCCAAAATTTTTGTGGNTTTTGCTTTTTTCCAAAATTTATGAAAATAAAATCTGCAAAAATTGATTTAATACAGTTCAAGATGGCCGAAAAGTAGAAAACCACAAAATTAAAGCCACACAAAATTGATTTTTAGACGGATCCATGAAAATTTTGGGCCACAAAAGTTTCCCACTATATGGTACTATAATTAAATTAATAATAAGATTACTTCACTCCTAGCAAGATGATAGGGATTCTCATCACCTATTGCTCCGTTATCATTCTCATCATCTATTGCTCTGTTATCATTCTCATCATCTATTGCTCTGTTATCATTCTCATCATCTATTGATCTGTGGGCCATAATAATTGATCTGTTACTGGTCAGTTGTGCAGGTGATGTGGTAATAGGAACAATCATTGTTAGATGAGTTTCTTCATATGGATTGGAATCAGCTCGTTCTTATAATATCATCATAAAAAACTTTTTATAATTATAGAATACTTACCAAAATGTACAAACTCTTTTGTTGCCTTCCCTTTTCTTTTAATAGCAGTTATCATACCAACAAATATCGTTAATATGATCAATATCAATAGTACAGTACCACTGACTGTACCAGCCACAACAGGTACAATGTTATCATTAATTCTTCCATCTATTCTCAAAAATATAAAACACTTTAGTGTGTGTATGTGTTATACTTGTTGATGGAGTTTCAGTTCCAATTGTAGCAGTAGTTGATGTAGTAGTAGCAACTAATGAGGAGGAACATATTAAATTATAACAAAATAATCATATTAGCTAACAAAGCATTTATTATTCTCTACCATTGTAGACAGTCTAATTAGATTGCATCTTAAAGGTTAGTAAATATAAATATAATACACCTTTTGAACAATTTTTGCAAATTACATGATTCATAGAACCTTTTCAAAAATTTTAATCTAACCATGTGCAATGAAACAGTTTATCAATTCTCAATATGCTCTATTAATTTTTAAGAAAACAGTGAAAAATAAAGACTCAAAGTGGTAGTGCATGCATGCATTCATATGTCATGTCACAAAATTTGGCAACTGTTCCATTGGCACATTTGTTTACACATTTGTCACTATATCTTATAGCAACCGTAGTATGTTTTAGGAACTAATTTACTATACTTAGCAAATCAAAGTACAGTAATGCAAGGTGGTACCGTATACTGGGATATTTTTGCATCGCTAAATATTCGCGAATTTTGCATTTGTACGATTTCACAAAATAATATTTTTGCGAATAGCTTGTAAACTCCACCACGTGGCAATGAAAATTCAAAATTTCATATCTTTTTATTTTCGCGACAGAGCAAGAAAACACAAAATCCGCGAAAATTTGGCTACTAAAAAATTTCCCAGTATACAGTATTGGGCAGCATTTACTGTTCATGTCAGAAGTCAATTTAAATAATGTTTTTTACACATAACTTACCAAATGGTAGTATAAATGGTTCACTACTACCAGCCTCATTACTAAATACAACAGTGATAATGCAATGTTGATTTAGTGGAGCTGGCACAGATCCTTGTATATTCATTGGTGCAAGAGTATTCTCCACTAAATATGTATTAGCAAATACAACATCAGTTCCATTACACTGTATGGTAATTGTAGCATTCTCAGGAGACTCACCAGTACACTCCAATGTCACCTATTAAGTATATAATTAAATTTTGTCAAATCATAATGACATTACTGGTATATTAAAAGAAGCATAAGCACTAGTCTCATTGAATGCTATTATAATTGAAGCTGCTTCAACTGATCTTGGTACTAAATAAACAAAATCATTCATTCAGTAATTATTGTTATTGTACCTCTTTGATATGAGAATGTATCATTATTAGACATTCCTTCTCCTAATTCATTAACTCCAGTAATAACATACGTATAACGATGTATAAATAAGTTATTATCCTCAAACTGATAACTGGTGTCATACACTGATACAGTATCCACTAGACTACCAGTAATAGCATCATATATTTTTAGTATGTAATACAGTATAGATACTCTATTATTAACTGTAGGAGCAGTCCATGTTATATCAATAGTAGAACAGTTGTCAATTGAAGAGTCAATGTTAGTAACTGGACCAGCTTTACCTAACAATGAGAGAAAGTAATGAATTAAAAAATAGACAACGTAATAGTTCATTACCAAGTCTAATAGAAGGTGTAGGTAGGAATTCTCCTCCATTATTACTCAGTGATACATTAACAATGAATGTATTTAAATTATTAGGTACAGTTATTACTCCAGTTATCATCAGTTGACCATTAACTTGTGTTGATATACTGTTACTGTCTTGTACCTCATTATTAATATTGAGTATAATAACAGTTATAATGTTAGGATATTCACCATTGCATAATGGAACAGCCTAGTGGTGGGTAGCAAAAGGAAGGAGACCATGCATTAATAACCTTACAATATGTATAAACAAATACCGTATATAATGAAATGTTGATGGGATTTTATATTGGCTGATTGACGGATTTATATAAAAACGCCAAGATAAAACCTGCAAGCAATATTTCCATTCATGCATGTGACCACACTCACATTAATTTTAGTTAAAAGCATGCCACTAGCTAACATGGCTTTACTATGTTTCCTTAAGCCAGTCTCTAAACCAGGTGATAAAGAATACAATCTTCCAGAAAAGGTACTGTCTTCCTCTGATAATATGTTGTCCACGAACTGCAACCGCTTAAGTAAAACCCAGCCTAAGGGTGGGGATATAGTTAAATTGTTAAAAATCACCAATATTAAATCCGCCAATATCACAAAACCACTAAAAAACTCCCATCAACAAATCCTCTTATACGGTAATAGAAACTGCCACATGACTGCACTGAAACTGAACACACACAATTGACAAAACAGTAATATGCACAACAGTCAAATAAAACACAGCAACAACAACAAAGCAATTGGAACAAACTTACATTAATACTGATATTCAATGATATTAGCTGTCCATCAATTACTGGTACTACTGATACAGGAGGAGTAATGAGAGGAACTGAAAGATACACTGTGAACATATACATGAAGCCATAGTAGGACTAACTAGTTTCATAATAAAAACTGATGTAAGTAGATGAGCCTATTCCAACATCATTAATAGGAGAAACTGATACATTATTTAATATACAAGGATCAAGATTAGTAGCTAATAATCTAATACTCTTGTTAGTAGTAGTAATGTTCACTGATCCATTGACTATATAGTATCCAGTGATAGGTACATTATCCAGTGTATAAGGAGCTGTCCATGTTAATAATACACTGGATCCATTAATAAAGGTATAATTCAGATCAACAACACTATCCAACAGACCTAAAGAAGAGACTAATGACACAATTAAACTGATACTTTACTATACCTTGTATTGTTAGTGTAGCATTGTCACTTCTAACTTCACCAGGAAAAAAAAAACAATATATATAAGTATTATTATTGATTTCTCTTGCATGAGCTGATAGCTGTCTTCTTCTTATAGTCCCATTAATAGTTACTTGGCTTAATTCAGTAAATCCTCTGTTAACGTTGACATCTTCAGATGCTGGTGTTTCACCAACATAAAAGAATATGAAAGAAACTCCAATTGCTTCACAAGTAAAGGTGACAGTTGAATTGAGACTTGTATTCACTGATACTGGTTGAGTTACATATTCTGTGAGTATAAAGAATTAGGGTAAAATAGCCTCGTGCAATTAGAGCGAAAGTCCTTATTTTAAAGAAAAAAGGTAAATTAATAAAAGCAAGCGGTTTGTTGAGTTGTTGAAAAACATCAATACAAAGGTCACAATATAAAACCACAGGTAAAGAATAGCCATTATAGGGATAGGAATGATTGAAAGTTAGAAGGCTGAACAGAATAGAATTACCAGCTAGGCACTGATGCACCTGCCATGCTATCAACAGCTACAAGTAACTATAATAGTCAAGCCTGAGTAAACAGCTATTGCATTCCTTAAATGAAGTTCTAGGCTACCATGACTGATATACATGTAATGGTATACGTATACCTACGAATTGGTCTACGCTGAAAATTTTCCAGAAAAGTGCTCAGTAATCTCATAAAAACGATTGTTTAATTTAAGACAAAGAAGGGTGTTTTTACAATATTGCAACATACCTGCCTGAGTACAGAATGAGGAAAGAAAGACTAAATATAGTGAAAAACACAAAAAAGAGCAATCTCTCTTTGTGATTGTCATCTCGATCTCTAAATGCACTGAGCCACGCCCTACTGAGATGTGATTCATGGTAATGAATACTATCATGGTAATGAATACTATTAGGTTAATCTTAGTTACTATGGCTTCATGTATATGTTCATAGTTCCTCTCATTACTTCTCCTGTATCCATTGTACTAGTAACAAAAATATCAATAGTTATGCAGGTAAATGAGCATTGTATTATAAGCTATAGTTTACCAAATGAAACAATAATAATTAATAGCAGTACCCATCAGATTCAACATTATAGTATTTAGTAATGAGGCTGGTAGTCTTAGATACCAGCATTTGTAATTTTTTATGCATGAGTTTTTAGTTTACATGTTACAAACATATACATATCACTGCTACTCTACATACCAACACCTGTATCAACAGTTTTAATGTCAGTACAATAGTTAGTATTACACTATATGTTATGTACTATATATCATTATAGTTATCACAACAATGTCAGCAGGTGTTGTTTACTATAACTCTCATGTGTTTAATTGCAGGGTCTGTCTCATTACAACAACAGAATAAAGCATATGAATTTAACACTTTATTGATAATACTAATTATGAATCTATAAAATTAGTTTCAAAATCTGGCCAAAGACCATGGGCTACTAAGACTGCTGGGTGTGCTGGGTCTTGCTCCTGTTCTTGCATTCCTTGCACTTCTCCTCTTTGAGAAAAGAAACACCCTGAAATAGTACCAAAAAGTATAAAATTTAAATCAAAATATATTATTATTACTAACCTAGTAGAGCAGCTTTCTGCATCAGTGGTACTACTCTTGTTGGCACCAATAGCATGCAGCTACATTTATGTAGCTGAATGAGCATGATTCTTACAATTTACCAAATAAAACAATAATAGTGTCCCTCAGTATCAACATTATAGCTAATGTAATGAGGCTGGTGGATTTTGTATGCATAAGTCTTTAGTACTGCTGGTACATTTTTATGTAAGGAATTCATTGTCAGTTTGGTTTGAATAGTTAAAATCATTCAAAATTTGAAAACTTGCAGTTGTAAGCACTTAATTAGATGAAATCATCACTTTACACCTACGGATTATGAATATCATTATCATCCTCCTGCCATGGAGGATGCTGCTACATCAATTAAAGTAGTTGATGGAAAAGTATCATTTTCTATTCTTGTAGTTGCAAGCAATATCTCCTCCTCTACTGCAGCTATACTGTGCCTACTGTGATTAACTCTTCTACTCCAAATATTGAGCCTAGTATGATCATCTTACCTACTACTGTGACAAATTCCCCTACTGATCCTAATGAAGAGCTTCATGTACTTCAATACTGGATCTCACCACTACAAGAAACTAATGCTACTGCACCATCAAAGCTGTGCTGCTCTTGAACTTATTTGAACACTATTGTGTCTAAACCTATGTATTATCTGTGATTGTAACTATATTTTTGACAATAAAATTCTCTTTTTGTTAACTTTTGTTCTACCATGCTTGTCTTGAATTGACACATTATATGCAATCTGATCTCAGAATTAAAACTTAAAATCCGCTTTGAAGAATTAAGTTGGTGTGTAGACAATTTCTTCTAATGTTGTCTGTTCTCCATAATAAAAGGTAGTCTAGTTGGAGCTTCTCCAAATCGTTCATTCTTTAAGACCCAGTATAAAAAATATATTTGAATTGAATGGTATAATTATCATCAATAATAATAAATTCATCAGATAATTTAGGACCTATAAAATATAATAACCAATAATATAATAATATTTTTACTCTACCAGGACTGAAAGTGAAATTTTCCTTTGCCATTGTTACATCAGTAAATCCATAACTTACATTAATAGCTGCTCTTACTCCCCATTGATATGAAGTATATTCAGTATAATCAGGTTTCTACCATGCCTAGTTGTAATTGACCAATCAGATTGCTTGGTTGTAGGTTCATAAATAACTAACTTACCTCTGATTTCCCGGGAGGTTAATAAATAATTTCCCGGGAGGTTGAATAAGTAGCCCGGGAGGTTGAATAAGTAGCCCGGGAGGTTGAATAAGTAAATTCCCGGGAGGTTGAATAAATAATTTCCCGGTAAATTAAATAATACAATTAATTGATTACATGTGTATTTTAAATTATAGTTTTGTGTAATTTGGTATTGTTTTAATAGTTTATAGTAATATTTGAGCAGTTAGAGAGGGTAAATGTAACCGTATCTGCAGTTGACCTTTTTTGCTTGGTGGTGGCTCGTAACTGTTTTCCTTATCTTCATCTAGTGCAACCTTTCGTTCATATTATTTTTTTAATACTGATGAAACTTCTTTTTCTTGATCTTG